GGGGGGGTTTGGGGACACGGGGAGGGGTTTGGGGACACCCAGGGGGGGTTTGGGGACACGGGGAGGGACCGGGAGGGGTTTGGGGACACAGAAGGACTTGGGGACACCCCGAGGGACAAACCCGGGGACACGGAGGGACAGGGAAGGGGTCTGGGGGGTGTCCCTTTGGGGGCTTTTTAAAGGGTCCCAAGGGGGTCCCTCAAGAAGGGGGGGGATCCATAAAGGGGTCTCTTAAAGGGGGTCCCAAAGGGGTCCCTAAAAGGGGGTCACTGAGGGGTCCCGAAAGGGGATCCTTAAAGGGGGTCCCCAAAAGGGGTCCCCAAAAGGGCCTCAAAGGGGTCACTGGGGGGGTCCCTAAAGGGGTCACTGAGGGGTCCATAAAGGGGGTCCCTAAAAGAGATCCCGAAGGGTTCCCACGACGGGAGCCCCTGAAGGGGGTTCCCAAGGGGCTCGTAAGAGAGAATCCCCAAAGGGGGGTCCCCAAAGGGGGGTCCCAAAAGGGCCCCAAAGGGGTCCCGTGTCCCCCCCCCACTCACCTTCTCCCCGCGCGCCCCGTCCCGGGGGTGACGTCACACAACCGAGGCCCCGCCCCCCGGAGACAGCATCGACCAATGGCGGCGCTCAGCCACGCCCCCGAAGAAGTATCGACCAATGGCGGCGCTCGGCCCCGCCCCGGGGAAGCATTGACCAATGGCGGCGCTCGGCCCCGCCCACGGTGGGCGTGTCTTTCCGGGCCGCGATGGCGGCGCCCGTGAGGGACCGGGAGGCGCTTCAGAGGCTGAACTTCCTGTTCCAGGTGGGAAAGGGGGGGACGGGGGGGTCTGGGGGGATTCTGGGGGACTGAGGGGAGGTTCTGGGAGTCCCGGGGGGGGTGTGGAGGGTCTGGGGGGGTTCTGGGGGGATTTGGGGGGGTCTGGGGGGTCCTGGGGGGGTTCTGGGGGGTTATGGGAGGATTTATGGGGGTCCTGGGGAGGTTAAGGAGGGATTTGGGGGGGTTATGGGGGTCCTGAGTGGGGAACTGGGGGGGTTATGGGGGTCCTGGGGGGGGGGTGTCTTTGGGGGATCCTGGGGGGGAATTTGAGGGTCCCTGGGGGGACTTATGGAGGGTTTATGGGGTCTGGGGGGGCCATGGGGCAGTTTATGGGTTTGTGGGTCCCTGGGGGGGTTTATGGGGTCTGGGGGGGCCATGGGGGGTTTCTGGGATAGTTTGTGGATCCCTGGGGGGGTTTATGGGGGGTTTATGGGCTCTGGGGGGGCCATGAGGGGTTTCTGGGGTAGTTTGTGGATCCCTGGGGGGGTTTATGGGGTCTGGGGGGGCCATGGGGCAGTTTATGGGTTTGTGAGTCCTTGGGGGGGTTTTGGGGGGGCTTATGGGGTCTGGGGGGGCCACGGGGGGGTTCTTGTGTAGTTTGTGGGTCACTGGGGGGGTTAGGGTTGCTCCTTGGGGGTCCAAGGGAGTCCCTGGGGGGGGGGGGCGAAATGAAGCCCTGGGGGGGCCTTTAAGGGCGGTTCGGGGTGTCCTGAGGGGCTGGGGGTGTCTTGGGGGGGTCTCTAACTCTGCCCTGACCCCCCCCTTGCCCCCCCCAGGCCGCCCACTGGGTGCAGCCCCACAGCCCCGCCCTGGCCCGGTTCTACCTGAGCACCCAAAGAGGGGCCTCCCGGCGCCTGGTGCTGCGCCTGTGAGTGAGGGGGGGCCCGGGGTGTGGGTCCTCGAGGGGTCCTGACCCCCATGACACCAACACGTGCCCCACACAGGGCCCAAACGTGAAGCGTCTTCGTGTGTCTCGCTGCTGTTGCCTCCCTCTGGCGCCCGGGGAGGGTGGGGGGACCGGCTGGCAGAGCTCGACGGTGGGGCGGGTTTGGGTATGGGGGGGTTTGGGGGGGATTGGGGGGTCTGGGGGGGGTGATTTGGGGGGGTTTAGGGAGGTTTGGGGGGGATTTGGGGGGGATTTTAGGAGAATTGGGGATTTGGGGGGGTTGGAAATTATTTGGGGGGGAATTGGAAAAGATTTGGGGGGACTGGAGGGGATTTGGGGGGATTTGGGGGGGTTGGGGGGGATTTGGGGGGCTTGGGTCAGTTGGGGGGATTTTTTTGAGGGGGCTCTGGGGGGGGGCTGGGGGGGTTTGGGGGGGATTTGGGGACACTGGGGGGGATTTAAAGGGGTCTGGGGGAAGATTGGGGGGATTGAGGACCCCCTGGGGGGGATTTCGGGGGGTCTGGGGGGGGATTGGGGGGATTGAGGACCCCCTGGGGGGGATTTCGGGGGGTCTGGGAGGATTGGGAGGTTTGGGGACCCCCTGGGGGGGATTTCGGGGGGTCTGGGGGCACTTGGGGACACCTTTGGGGGGGGTTTGGGGGGAATTTGGGGAGGCCCTGGAAGGGTCTGGGGGGGTTTGGGGGGTCCTGGGGGGATTTGGGGACCCTGTGGGGGGTGTGGGGGGGTCTGGGTGGGGTTTGGGGGTGGTTTTGGGGTATTTGGGGGTGCTCAGACCCCCCCTGTCCCCCCTCAGGGCGGGGCCAGCCCCGGGTCGTCCTTCGCTGTCTCACCTGCGGCCGCAGGAGGCGCTTCCTGTGCCCACCTGAGCCACGCCCACCCGAGCCACGCCCACCCAAACAGGACACACCCACCCCACCAAACAGGACACACCCACCCGAGCGACACCCACCAACCAGGACACACCCGAGCCACGGCCACCAAACAGGCCACCCCCACCAAACAAGACCCACACCTGAGCCACGCCCACCCACCAAACAAGACACACCCACCTGAGCCACGCCCACCCACCCAGGCCACACCCACCTGAGCCACACCCACCCACCCAGGCCACACCCACCTGAGCCACGCCCACTCACCCAGGCCACACCTTGCAGTCACTGAGGGGGTGGGGCTTGTGAGCAAGGGGCGGAGTCAGGAGAGAGGGGGTGGAGCTAAGCCCAAATATTGAAATATGGGTGTGGTTAACTGAGTGGGTGTGGCCACACCCAAATAAGGGAATGTGGGTGTGGCTGTGAGAAGGGGGCGTGGCTAAGGTCAGTTAAGAGGGATGTGGACGTGACTAATTAGGGGGATGGGCCATGTTGTGGGTGTGGCTAATGAAGGGGTGGGGCAAGCTCCAAATTAGGGTGTGGGCGGGGCCAAGAGCTGAAATCCAAATTAGGCCATGAGTGGGTGTGGCCAATTAAGGGATGTTACTAATGAAAAAGGGGGCGTGGTTAAGTACTAATCAGGGGGTGTGGCTAATGAGGGGGTGTGGCTAAATCCAAATAAGGAAATGTGTGGGTGTGGCTATGAAGGGGGTGTGGCCAGCCCCCATGACATCACTCCCCAAGCCCCGCCCCCTGCAGAGCCCCCAGCACAGGCCCCACCCACCCGCCATCGCCCCCTCCCTGATTGGTCCCCTCTTGTTCCTCCTCCAGCCAATCAGAGCTCGGCAGCTGCACAAATAAACCTCCCTTTATTCCATACATGGCATTAGTGTCGGGGGGGGGGCGTGGCCTGGCGATGGCCCCGCCCACAAAACGGGCGTGGCTAACACTCATCCTCCCCTAGCAGGGCAAAGGGGTTGGGGGCGTGGCCGGGAGGGGGTGTGGCCTCACCAGGCTCCTCCCCTTCCTCCTCTTCATCATCCTCTTCCTCCTCCTCCTCCTCCCCCTCCGAGGGCGACCCCTCCCCGGGGGGGTTCTGGGGGGCTCCCCCCGCCTCCGTCAGCGCTGCCAGGGCGGCCGTGTCGGGGTGCTGCTCCCACAGCTCTGGGGGGGCACGGGGGGCTCAGGGACCCCAAAAACGACCCCCAGACCCCCAAAAGGGACCCCCAGGGATGGAGCTCCATGTGCTGCTCCCACAGCTCTGGGGGGGGCACGGGGGGGTGCTCAGGGACCCCAAAAAGTGACCCCCAGACCCCCAAAAGGGACCCCCAGGGATGGAGCTCGGGGTGCTGCTCCCACAGCTCTGGGGGGGGCACGGGGGGGGGCTCAGGGACCCCAAAAAGGGACCCCCAGACCCCCAAAGGAGGACTCAGCCCCCCCAAAAAGAGCTGGGACCCCCAAGGATGGACCTCGGGGTGCTGCTCCCACAGCTCGGGGAGGGGGGACAGGGACCCCCAAAAATGACCCCCAGAAGGATCTGGGACCCCCCCAGTCCCCCCAGATTTGGGGTTTTTGGGGTCTGTACTCACCTCTGTCCCTGGTGAAGCCCCCCAGGACCATCCCAGCCCCCCAGGACCGTCCAAGCCCCCCAGATTTGGGGTTTTTGGGGGTCTGCACTCACCCCTGTCCCTGGTGAAGCCCCCCAGGACCACCCCAGCCCCCCAGATTTGGGTTTTTTGGGGTCTGCACTCACCTCTGTCCCAGATGAAGCCCCCCAGGACCATCCCAGCCCCCCAGGACCGTCCAAGCCCCCCAGATTTGGGGTTTTTGGGGGTCTGCACTCACCCCTGTCCCTGGTGAAGCCCCCCAGGACCGCCCCAGGCCCCCAGATTTGGGGTTTTTTGGGGGTCTGTACTCACCCCTCTCCTGGGTGAAGCCCGGGGGTCTGAGGCAGAGCCGCAGCCGCCCCTCGGCCGCCAGTCTGAGCAGGGCGTTGGCCGCCCGGTACACGTCGGGGCGGGCGGCGCGGGCCGTGCGGTACCCCCGCTTCTCTGCCCACGCTGGGGGCACCAAAACACCCCAAAGTTACCCCAAAAACACCATCAGTACCCCACGAGGTACCCCCGCTTCTCTGCCCACGCTGGGGGCACCAAAACACCCCAAATTACCCCAAAGTTACCCCAAAAATACCCCAAAAATACCCTCAGTACCCCACGAGGTACCCCCGCTTCTCTGCCCAGGCTGGGGGCACCAAAACCACCATAAACACCCCAAAATCCCCAGAGAAAAGCCATACGTGTTCAAACCCCTATAAACAGCCCCAAAGCCCCATAAACACCCCAAAGTCACCCCAAAATCCCCAGAGAAAAGCCAGACGTTCAAAATCCCAGAAATGGCCCCAAATCCCCCATAAATCCCCCAAATCCCCGTGACTGCACCATAAATCCCCCAAACCCCATAAACACCCCAAACCCCCATAAAAGAACCCCTAAAACCCCCAGAAATACCCCAAAATCCCCCAGAAACACCCCCGACCCCCCCAAAAACCCCATGAATGCCCCCAATCCCAAACCTTCACACAGGTCCCAGGCGGTCCAGGCGGGGCCGTTCGGGGGGCGGAGCTGCAGGAGGGGGGGCAGGGCCAGGCGGGACCCCAAATACCCCACGGCCGTGTAGGGCTCCTGCAGCTGGGAGATGGGGTACACCCCTGCCAGGACCTGGGGGGACAGAAACCCCATAAATATCCCATAAATACCCCATAAATACACCCCTGCCAGGACCTGGGGGGGACAGAAACCCCATAAATACACCCCTGCCAGGACCTGGGGGGGACAGAAACCCCGTAAATACCCCATAAATACCCCATAAATACACCCCTGCCAGGACCTGGGGGGGACAGAAACCCCATAAATATCCCATAAATACCCCCCTGCCAGGACCTGGGGGGACAGAAACCCCATAAATACCCCCCTGCCAGGACCTGGGGGGGACAGAAACCCCAAAAATACCCCATAAATACACCCCTGCCACGACCTGGGGGGCTCCTGCAGGTGGGTGTGGCCTCACCTGGAGCTCGGGGGGGGCCCTGGAGGGGCTCTGGAGGTGGGTGTGGCCTCACCTGGAGCTCGGGGGGGGCTCTGGAGGTGGGTGTGGCCTCACCTGGAGCTCGGGGGGGGGCTCTGGAGGTGGGTGTGGCCTCACCTGGAGCTCTGGGGGTGCCCTGGAGGGGGTGTGGCCTCACCTGGCGCTCGGGGGGGGTTCTGGCGGTGGTGTGGCCTCACCTGGAAAGCTCTGGGGGGGGCCTCTGGAGTAGGTGTGGCCTCAAACCTGGAGTCGGGTGGGGGGTTCTGGAGGTGGGTGTGGCTCTACCGGAGCTCGGGGGGGCGGGGGGGCTCTGGAGGTGGGTGTGGCCTCACCTGGAGCTCGGGGGGGGGCTCTGGAGGTGGGTGTGGCCTCACCTGGAGCTCTGGGGGTGCCCTGGAGGGGAACACGAGCCCGGGGCAGTCACAGAGTCGCACCGTGGGCGTCAGGAAGTGGGTCTGGAAGTAGCGGGTGTGGCCGGGGGTGCGGGACACGCCCACGGCGCTGCGGCCAATCAGGGCGTTCACCACCGACGACTTGCCCGCGTTCGGGAGCCCTGGAGGGGACACGCCCACCGTGAGACCATGCCCACCGTGAGACCACGCCCACCGTGAGACCACGCCCACAGTGAGACCACGCCCACACAAGACACGCCCACTTTGAGCCACGCCCACATGAGGGTCACACCCACCCCGGACACACCCCAGGTGAAGCCCCGCCCACCAACTGCATGGACACACCCATGCAAGCCCCACCCACCAAAGGCAGGCTCCGCCCACTGCATCCCACCCCCACCTCCTGCCTTCTGGCCCCACCCACTTTCTCCTGGCTCCACCCAGTGCCCGATGGTCCCACCCGCTTTCTCCTGGACCCACCCCATGGCCACACCCACAATAACCCCACTCTCAGCAACCACACCCACTTTAGTCCCACCCCTCAGCAACCACACCCATTTTAACCCCACCCCACTAACCACACCCACTTTAGCCCCACCCTCAGCAGCCACACCCACTTTAACCCCACCCCACTGACCACACCCACTTTAGCCCCACCCCTCAGCATCCACACCCACTTTAGCCCCACCCCTCTGACCACACCCACAGTAGCCCCGCCCCCAGCGACCACGCCCCCGCCGGCCCCGCCCCTCACCGACGCAGCCCAGGGTGAGGACGCCGTGCCGGTACCGCTCCCACTGCCGGGGCGGGGCCGCGGGGCCGTCCCCGTGTCCGTCCTCGTCCTCCGCCCCTTCCGGCTGCTCCTCCTCTTCCTCCTCCTCCTCTTCCTCCTCCTCCTCCTCCTCCTGCTGCTGCTCCGCCCGCTCCAGCCGCGCCCGCCAACTGCTCAGGTCCACTGGGGGCACGGGGGACACCGGGGACCCCCCAAAACTCAGGGGGGCACCCCCAGCGCACAGGGACCCCCCAAAACTGAGGGGGGGCACCCCCAGCACACAGGGACCCCCAGAACCCAAAGGGGGCACTGGGGACCCCCCAAAATTCAGGGGGGCACCCCCAGCACACAGGGACCCCCCAAAACTCAGGGGGGACACCAAGGACAGCCCAGAACTCAGGGGGGACACCAAGGACCCCCCGGAACTCAGGGGGACACCCCCAGCCCACAGGGACCCCTCAGAACTCAGGGGGACACCTCCAGCACAGAGGGACCCCTCAGAACTCAGGGTACACAGAGACCCCCCCCCAGCACCCAGGGGTCCCCCCCACCCCCCAGGGGCCATCCAGCCCCCCCGTGACCCCCCCGAGCCCCCTCCCCGCTCACCTTCGCCCCCCACGATGCCCTCGCAGGCCTCGAGCAGCAGTCGGGGTCCCACCGCCCGGCTCCAGCCGCCCCCTCCCCGCCTCCGCTGCCGCCGCAGCCCTGGGGGCACCCCCGAGGGGGGCAGTCAGGACCCCCGGGAGGGTCAGGGACCCCCAGGACCCCCCTCCCACCCCCACGGCCATGGGGGGACACCGGGGGGGCTTCGGAACCCCCGAGAGGGTTCAGGACCCACTCCCCACCCGTCAGGGGCCATACCGGGGGGGGGGGGGGGCCCTGGGGGGGCTCAGGGACCCCAGGGAGGGTTCAGGACCCCAGGACCCCCCTCCCTGCCCCCCAAGGCCCATACCAGGGTCAGGGGGTCCCCGGGTGAGTTGAGGACACCCAGAGAGGATTCAGGACCCCCAGGCCCCCCCCCCCACCCCCACAGCCCAGGGGGGACACCGGGTGGGGTTCGGGGACCCCAGGACCCCCTCCCACCCTCCCAGCCCCAGGGGACCGCGAGGTGTGTTCAGGGACCCCAGGGAGGGTTCAGGACCCTCAGAATCCCCCTACACCTCCACAGCCCCAGGGGGACACCGAGGGGGGTTCAGGGACCTCAGCACCCCCAGGGGAGGTTTCGGACCCCCCGGACCCCCTCCCACCCCCACAGCCACGGGGGGACACTGGGGGGGGTTGAGGGACCCCAGGGCGGGTTAAGGACCCTCAGAATCCCCCTCCCACCCCCCCAGCCCCAGGGGGACAACAGCGGGGGGTCAGGGACCTCCGAACCCCCAGGGCGGTTTCAGGGGACCCAGGGCGGGTTCAGGACCACAGGCCCCCCCTCCTACCTCCACAGCCCCAGGGGGACAGTGGGGGGGTTCAGGACCCCCAGGGAGGGTTCAGGCCCCCCAGGCCCCCCCTGCAGAGCCCCAGGGGGTCACCGGGGGGGGCTGAGGGCCGCACCGGGGGCGGGGGTCCCGCGGGAGGGGGCGGAGGTGAAGGGCACGACGCGGGCGGGGGCGAAGCGGTGCCGCAGGAGGTGGGTCCAGGCGGTGGCCACGGCGGGGGGGGTCAGGTCCACCTTGTTGAGGATGAGGATGAGCCCCTTGCCCAGCTCCTGGGTCACGTGGGAGGCCAGGGCGGGGGGCACGTTCAGCACCTGGGGGGGGATAAACGGGGACGGGGGGGGGGGTCAGAGGGGTCGGGGGGGTTTGGGGACCCCCACCCCGGGGGGCTCAGGGTGGTCCCACCCCCCTCACCGGGTGCCGGGCGTCGGTGATGAGCAGGATGATGTCGGACATTTCCAGAACCCTCCAGAGCTGCCGCCACGTCTGGGGGGGGACAGGGGGGCACGTGAGGACCCTCGGAGCCCTGAACGGCCCCCCAATGTCCCCATGGACCCCTCTGTGCCCACTGTGGCTGCTGTGTCCCCTCAACCCCCCCATGTCCCCTTCTGTGACCCATCAAGTCCCTTTAACCCTCCCACACCTCCCCAGTGACCCCCATGGCCCTTAAACCCCCCCACACACCTCCCCAGAGACCCCCAAGTCCCTTTAACCCCCCCACACCTCCCCAGAGACCCCCAAGTCTCTTAAACCCCCCCCACACCTCCCAGAGTAGGGTGTGAGTGAACCCATGGCCCTCCTTCCTTCCAACCCCCACCCCCACACCTCCCCATGGCCCTTAAACCCCCCCCACACCTCCTCAGTGACCCCCCAAGTCCCTTTAACCCCCCCACACCTCCCCAGAGACCCCCATGGCCCTTAAACTCCCCCTCCCAAGCCCCCAAATCCCTTCGACCCCCTCCCACCTCCCCATCTCCCCCCCCCACATCCCTCACCCCCCCAGCCCTGCCCTCACCTCCAGGTTGTGCTCAAAGGGTGCCAGGCCCGCCCCCTCCTCGTCCTCCTGGCTGTCCCCCCCCTCCTGAGCCCCCCCGGGGGGGTTCCCGTCCCGGAGGCTCCTCAGGAAGGCCCCAAACGCCTCCTCCTCCCGCGCCCGCAGCTCCTGGGGGCTCATGGCGAAGCTCCAGGGGGGTCTCCGGGGGAAATCCAGCCCTGGGGGGGCACAGAGAGGGTCCCGCCGGCCCCCCGGACCACCCATGGTGGGGGGGGACCCCTCAAAGGGGACTTTGTGCTTCCCAAAGACCTTTTATCCCTCCCTGGGGTCGTTTATCCCCATCCCAGGGACCACCTCCCCCTTTCTGGGGACATTTACCCCTCCTGGCACCACTTACCCCCCTTCCAGGGGCGATTTATCCCTCCCTGGGGTAATTAATCCATCCCAGACACCATTTACCCCCTCCCTGGGGCAATTAATCCCACCTCAGACACCATTTACCTCTTCCCTGGGGCAATTAATCCCACCTCAGACACCATTTGTCCCCTCCCTGACACCGTTTCCCCCGCTCCAGGGTCCCTTTCCCCCTCCCAGGGCACCACTTCCCGCCCTCCAAATGCCTCTTTCCCCCCTCCCGTGCCCCATTTACCCCCCCGGGGCACATTTGCCCCCCCGGGGGTGCCGTTCCCCCCCCACCAGGCCCGTAGATGGTGTCGGGGTCCAGCTCCAGGGCGCTCTCCGGGAGCAGCTCCAGGGGCTCCTCCTGTGCCCGACGCCGGCGCTGAGCCAAGGCCTGTGCCCGGGGCCCCCCCAGCTGGAGACGGAACCTGGGGGGGCACAGGGGGGGTCACACAGTGTCCGGGCCCCCCCACCCACTGCCAGGACCCCCCACCAACCCTCCTGGACCCCCCACCCAACACTGGCACCAACCCTGTGCCCGAGGCCCCCCCAGGTGGAGATGGAGCCTGGGGGGGCACAGGGGGGGTCACACAGTGCTCGGGACCCCCCACCCACCTCCTGGACCCCCCACCCACTGTCCAGACCCCCCCTCAGCCCGGGGCCCCCCCAGATGCATCTGGAGCCTGGGGGGGCACGGGGAGGGTCACACAGTGCCCAGGACCCCCCACCCACTGTCCAGACCCCCCCTCAGCTCTGGAGCCTGGGGGGCACCTCCAGACCCCTCCAGACCCCCCAACTGCCCCCAGAACCTGGGGGGCACCTCCAGGCCCCGCCTCCCCCCGTCCCCAGGTACCTGCCGGGGTCGTGACGCCGGGGGGGTCCCGGAGGGTCCCCGGGGGGGTCTCCGGGGGTCCCATCGCTGCCCCTCTCGCGGCTCCCGCTGCGGCTGCCGGGCCCCGAGTCGGGCCCCCCCGGGGCATCTGTGGGCACGGGGGGGGGTGTCAGGGGGTCCCGGGAACCCCCTCAGTGCCCCCCTCACCTCACACCGGGCGTCCTTCTGGTTTTCCCTCCCGCAAACCCCCCTCCCGGTGGTTTTCACCCCCCTTTCCGTTATTTCCCCCCGTTTCCCACCTCCCCCTTTTCCCTTTCCCTCTCTCCCTCTCTCTCCCTCCCTCCCTCTCTCCCCAGTCCCGGTATTTTCTCTCCCCCTTCCCGGTGTCTTCCCCCCCCGTTCCCGGCGTTCCGTCCCCGTTCCCACCGCCCCGTTTCCGCTCCCGCCGGTCCCGGAGTTGCTGTTTTTTCCTCTTGGCGCTGAACGGGCGTTTGCGGGGCATGACTTGAGGGAGGCGGGGACTGCTCACGTGACGGGGCGTGGCCGCGATCCGCCAATAGGAGCGGGCGGCGCGCGGGGAGGAGCCAATGGGAGGCGGTGCCGCCTCAGAGCCGCGGCATGACCGACGTGCAGGGCGACCAATGGCAGCGAGCCTCACCCCCTGACGAATGGGAGCGCGAGTTACCTCAGGAGGGGGGCGGGATGAACCGCGGAGAGAGCCAATGGGACTACGCGCCGCCGCACGGCGAGGAGAACCAATGGGAGCGCGAGTCGCCACATGAGCGGGCGGGGCGAACGAGGGAGAACCAATGGGAGGCGGGTATAAGGGAAAGGAGGGAGGGGCTGATGGCGGGGCGGACCAATGGGAAGGAGGCGCAGCCCGGAAGCGGCGCGGCGCGGGCGCGGCGCATGCGCAGTGCGCGGTGCCCAGCCATGCCGAAGGGAGCGCGGCCGGCGGGGCCCAAACAGGAGGAATGGAAGGGGGGGGGCGACGGTGAGACCCCCGCGACCCCCGGAACGGGAACCCCGGGGCGGGACCCCTTCGATGGGGGGGGGGGGAACCCCCGGGTGGGACCCCCGGGGTGGGACCCCCGGGGTGGGACCCCCGGGGTGGGACCCCCTGAACCCCCCGGGTGGGACCCTCAGGGTGAAGTAACTCCCTTTTTTGGGGGAAATCCCCCCCTTTTTGGTAGATTTAACATGGGGGGGGGTGACCCCTCCCCTGACCCCCCCTTTTTTGTCATTCCCCCCCCCCCCCAGACCAGCCCGTCAAGAAGGGCAAGAAGGACCGACGGGGCAAGAAATCCGTGAGTGACCTTTGACCTCTGGGACCCCCCCAAAAAATCCCCCCTCTGACCCCCCCTGAGCCCCCTGACCCCCCCTGACCCCCCTGTGCCCCCCCAGTTCTTCGAGGAGTTGGCGGAGGAGGAGAAACCCCCCCCCAAGATCGAGCCCCCCCCGGCCCCCGACAGGGAGGGGCCCCCCCAGGTGGGTTTGGGGGGGAGGGAGGGGCTAAAAGGGGCTGGGGGAGGGGCTAAAGGGGGCGTGGTTGGAGAGGGAGGGGCTAAAAGGGGTTGGGGAGGGGCTAAAGGGGGCGTGGTTGGAGGGGGAGGGGCTAAAAGGGGTTGGGGAGGCGCTAAAGAGGGTGTGGTTGGAGGGGGAGGGGCTAAAAGGGGCTGAGGGAGGGGCTAAAGAGGGTGTGGTTGGAGGGGCAGGGGCTAAAAGGGATTGGGGAGGGGCTAAAGAGGGTGTGGTTGGAGGGGGAGGGGCTAAAAGGGATTGGGGAGGGGCTAAAGAGGGTGTGGTTGGAGGGGGAGGGGCTAAAAGGGATTGGGGAGGGGCTAAAGAGGGTGTGGTTGGAGGAGGAGGGGCTAAAAGGGATTGGGGAGGGGCTAAAGAGGGTGAGATCTGAGGGAGGGGCTTAAGGGGGTGGAGGGGAGGGGCTTAAGGGGAGGGGGAGGGGCTAAAGAGGGTGGTGATTGAGGGGGAGGAGCTTAAAGGGGTGTGGTTGGAGGGGCTAAATGGGATTGGGAGGGGCTAAAGAGGGTGTGGTTGGAGGGAGGGGCTTAAGGGGGTGGAGTGTATGGGGAGGGGCTATTTGGGGTGGGAGGGGCTAAAGAGGGTGGGGTTGGAGGAGGAGGAGCTAAAGGGGAGGGGATTGAGTAATTAGGGGCTGACTAAGCCTTAAATGAGAGTTAATTAAGGCCGCCAACGCTAATTAGGGGTCCCGCCGGAAGCGAGAGCGCCGGAAGGAGCCGCGGCCCCGCCCGGGGGCGGAGCCTGAGCCCGAGGAGGCGGAGCTTCAGCGGCGGCTCCAGGCCCTGGCGGCCGCGGACTCGGAGGAGGAGGAGGAGGAAGGTCAGGGAGGGGAACTGGGGGGTCCCGGGGGGGTCCCGGGGGGTCCCTGAGACCCCCAGGGGTGGGGGGGGGATGGGCAGTGACCCCCCACCCCCCAAAACTGTTCCCACAGTCGTGGCCCCCCGGAAAGGAGGGAGGAGGAGGAAGGTGAGTCTGGGAAAGGGGGAGGGGCTTAAAGTTGGGGGAGGGGCTTAAAGTAAGGGGGAGGGGCTTAAAGTAAGGGGGAGGGGCCCCAAAATAGGGGAGGAGCCCAAAGCAAGGAGGGGGCTCCCAAAATATTGGGGAGGGACTTCTAAACACGTGGGGGACCCCAAAACATGGGGGAGAGACCCCAAAATAAGGGAAGGACCCCAAAATAAGGGAGGGACCCCAAAATAAGGGAAGGACCCCAAAATAAGGGAGGGATCCCAAAATAAGGGAGGGACCCCAAAACATGGGGGAGAGACCCCAAAATAAGGGAAGGACCCCAAAATAAGGGAGGGACCCCAAAACATGGGGGAGAGACCCCAAAATAAGGGAAGGACCCCAAAATAAGGGAGGGATCCCAAAATAAGGGAGGGACCCCAAAACATGGGGGAGAGACCCCAAAATAAGGGAAGGACCCCAAAATAAGGGAGGGATCCCAAAATAAGGGAAGGACCCCAAAATAAGGGAGGGGTCCCAAAATGAGGGAGGGATCCCAAAATAAGGGAGGGATCCCAAAATGAGGGAGGGATCTCAAATAAGGGAGGGACCCCAAAATAAGGGAGGAAAGACCAAAAAATAAGGGAGGGATCCCAAAATAAGGGAGGAAAGACCAAAAAATAAGGGGGGGAACCCCCAAAATGAGGGAGGGGAACATTAAAGTTCTCCAAAAATGGGGAAAGTGGGAGGAAATCCAAAAAAAAGCCCCAAAATGGGGGGAGTGGGGGGGTAAAATCGGGGTTCTCTGGGGTCTGGGGGGCCGAGGGGATGTTTTGGGGGGTGTTTCGGGGTCTCCAAGCCCCCCCTTTTCTAACCCCCCCCCCAGGGCGGGAACGTGTTCGCGGCGCTGAGTCGGGAGCAGAGCGAGGAGGACGAGGAGGAGGAGCTGAAGAGGGGGGAGGAAGGCTCCAGGCCCCCCAAGGGCAAGAACAACAAGGTTTGGGGGGGTCCCTGGAGGTCCCCGGGGGGGCCTGGAGGGGGGTGGGACCCCCCCAAACCCCCGAAAAACCCCCGGGATCGCAGCAGGAGGAAGAGGAGGGCGAGAGGAGGAAGAGGAAGGGCCACAAGAACGAGAAGGCCAAGGGGAAGCAGAAGGTGAGGGGGGGTTTTGGGGGTCCCACCCGCGGTTTTGGGGGTCTGTGGATTCCGGGGGGGTCTCATTTTGGTGGTTTCCCCCCCCCAGGGCAAAGCTCCCAGTGAGGACGAGGCCGAAGGCTCCGAGGAGGAGGCGAAGCCCAAGGGGGGGAAGGTGAGGAGGAGGAGGAGGGGGGAGGTTCTGGACCCCCCTGAGGGGGTTTTGGGGGGGCTTTTTAGGGGAGTGAGACCCCCCCCAATGCTGTTGTGCCCCCCCCCAAAAGCAGAACAAGTTCCTGGCTCTGAGGGGGGAGGAGGAGGAGGAGGAGGAGGAGGAGGAAGAGGCCGAAAAGCCCCGGAAAGGGAGCGAGGGGGTGAGTGGAGACCCCCCCGAGGGGCTTTGGGGGGGTCTGGGTGGGTCGGGGGGGGTCCCTGAAGGGGTTTTGAGGGGGGTGCTGGGGGGTGAGGGCGGTTTTGGGGGTCCCTGGTGGGTCTGGGGGGTCCCTGATGGGTTTGGGGGGGGTCCCTGGGGGTCCCTGTGGGTCTGGGGGTGTCCCTGGGGGTCCCTGGTGGGTCTGGGGGGGTCCCTGGGGGT